ATATATATAAGATATATATTATTAATTATAAGGAGTGCCTTCCCGTTATTATGATATATCAATTGCACATCACCAATGAGCTAATTTAAAAGCTTAAACACAATAAGCACAGGCAATAGGCACAAGCAACAGGGAATAACGAGTCATCCAATCAGAGCTCTGGAGTGTAAATTCGAGAGATCCATTATATTCCAGAGATTATATTCCAGAGATCCTCTGATTGGAGGGCTCGTTATTTCCTGTTGCCTATGCTATTGTGTTAAGCTTTAAGGCTACGTTCGAAAACTTCTTCTCCGAGGAAAATTTTACTCGAAATATATAATACACATGCTGTATACTATAGCATATAGAGTGAAATCTTCCTTGGAGAAGACATTTTGGAACGTTGCCTAAAATAATATGATCTTATTGGTGAAGCAGTGAAAAATTACTAGGAACAGAGTGATGTGAGTGGTGCAATTGAACTGTGTGCAAATGCGTCACTCCCGTTCCGAGCATCATGTGCGAGTATTTTTAGAAACACCAGAAAATGGTATATGCAAGAAATCAGCCATATTGTTAAAAGTATTGAAAATACGCAGTACAGCTTCCATGAGAACTACGCATTTCTCTCCGCGATCGCGGATGTGTCACATAACCAACGTCGCCGATCCCGAGCGATAATGTTTATAAATATTGAGATTTGACATATGAGCCAGCAGTAACTCTTCGCGAAAATCGTTCTACTCCCGGTGATGCCCGCACGATACACTTCGGAGCGATGCTGTTAATGTGATACATCGACGCCAAAGAAAATCGGACGTCGAAAAAAAATGACAACTGGCCAGAGTGGACACGATCATTCTCTCGCTATCAGACAGGAAATACAACGTTTTGAAAGCGTTCACCCATCGATATATGCCATTTATGATTTGATAGAGGTCGTGCCTGACGCGCACATCGCTAAACAAATTCGCGAGCATGTTGTAGCAATAGAGGGTATGCTTTATAATTATATATATATTTTACATGTATATATTTTATAATTATGTACATCTCAATAGAGGAAAATGATGTTTGCTGTATTTGCAATATTTATGTATAATAATAACATTTTATATATTAAATAATATATATAATGTTATATGTTAAGCTTGTATTATATAATAATAGAAGTTGCATTCAGCAAAGAAAATTGATCAGAGAGCACTGTGTAATTTTTTAATATGATTTATTCTTATTTTTAATTTGCTGGATCTAAGGAATCAATGGCTGTATTCAATAGAAAAAGCTGCTTTGCAATTGTGTAAAATTATTTAATATGATTGATTTATACATTTAGATAATAAGGAAATAAAGGCAATAGTTAAAGAATAGTTGCAAAACTGTTTTCTCTGCTGTATGCAGCCAATTGTATTAAAAAATAGTGTTCACTGATCAGTTTTCTCTGTTGAATGCAGTCAATGGTGATGTTCAGCAGATCGTTGCTATTGGATGATCTATGTGTAAAAGAATACATCAATAAGCAAGCACTCATATATCCGCTCTGTAACAGTTAAGGCTGCTGAACGCGACTAATGTAAATTCATATTTTTTTAGATTCCTTCGTCAACAGCCATGAATGGACATTGGCAAGAGATGTTCCAGAATTGCATCTGGGGATCATTGGTTCCTCAGACTCAGGAAAGTCAGCTTTGGTTCACAGGTATCTTACAGGATCCTTCATGCATGAAGAATCACCGGAAGGTGGTCGTTTTAAAAAGGAAATCTTTATAAATGATCAGAGTTACCTTCTCTTAATAAGGGATGAAGGTGGCGTGCCAGAGGCTCAAGTATGCAACAAAATCATTTTATTTCATACATCATTATTTGCCAATGCCTATTATTATATCAAATAATAATGGATGTGTCCATTTCAGTTTTCAGCTTGGATAGATGCTCTATTACTTGTATTCAGCTTAGAAAATGAAGAAAGTTTCTCTATAGTTTGCAGTTTTTACAATAGAATGTGTTCTTTTCGGAATATGTCAGAAGTACCAAAAATACTTGTAGGCGTACAAGGTATGCTGTAATCAGATAATAAATTGTCAATTTTTTTTTTATTTGTTATTCTTCATCATATTCATGTTTCTAAATTATTGATTTTTTGATTTTTTTGTAGATTCGATTAATGACAGCAATCCTCGTGTCATAAAGGATGTCAGACCACGGAAACTAGCTTGTGATTTAAGATGTCCTTATTATGAAACATGTGCTATTTATGGTTTAAACGTTGAGAGAGTATTTCAAGATGGTAAGGATGTTTATGCAAGAACTAAACACAAATTTGTTATAAGTTGAAACATGTTTCTTTAAATTTTCTAACGTTTATAATTTAAACGTTATTAATAAGTGAAAAATTTCAGTGTGTCAAAAAATCATACAGAACATATCGATAAAAAATTTTTCATGCGATGTGTGTCAACATGCTACGGAGAATGAAGTTAAATTTGCAGTTCCTGCTATTATTAAAAACGTGCAACTTCATAACAAAGATACAGAGACCACAAATTCATTGAAAGTAAACGTGAGTCAGTTTATCAGTTATGTCCTCCAATAAATCAAACAGATCATATAAGTTTAAAGTAAATTTCTTAACAGGTTTCAGAAAAAGACGAGGATTGTCGATCCATTCATAATAGTTCTATGACAAATGATTCGTCATTGCTGAACGATAATTTTCATAACGTACAAAATCAACATGGAGAATTACGTTCGTCAATCTTGACACCAACAACTATCAGGTTTGAATATACTTTTTTAAATACTTCTTTCTACATTTTTTTACATTGATATTATTATAACATTATTTTGTTTCCTAGAAAATTTAGAAGAAAATCGAACATATTTACACCTTCCAAGAAAGAGAAATATATGGGCGAAATGGGTGTTGGTAGAGAAATACCAGTAAAACAAGGTTATTTATTCAAACGAAGTAGTAAGTCATTGAAAGAATGGAAGAAGAAATACGTAACGTTATTAGAGGATGGACGTTTGACTTATCATTCGAGCTTACATGTAATTATCAGTTATGCAATAGCCGTTTCATCATTTCTTTATGCATTTATACGATATGTTTAGTATAAGGAAACATTTTTAGGATTACATGAACGATACTAATGGCAAAGAAATACTTTTGCAATATGTTACTGTGAAAGTACCTGGTAAAACACCAAAAGGTTCCAAATCATACAATGCTCAAGGTATTGCACTTTGCAGATTTCATGTATATAATTAACGGTTGTAGAATATTTTTATCATTTTTTTATATCATTTTAATATGCATATTCTTTCTTTTTCTAGAAGATAGTTTCGAATTTTCCATTATTTCCTTGGAGAACAAAACTTGGCATTTCGAAGCAAACAATGCTGAAGAGAGGGACAGCTGGATTACTGCAATAGAACAGCAAATACTATCGAGCTTACAAAATAGTGATGGTGATAAAAAAAACGAAACTGATGCTTTCAAGATGCATTGCATAAAGAACAAAGTTTCGGGGAATGATACATGCGTTGACTGTGGTGCACCGAGTGAGTGAATTTTTATTTAATTACCGCACAATTAATAATTTGTGTATACTCTATAATTGCATATTTTTATTTCAGATCCCGATTGGGCTAGCCTTAATCTGGGTGTTTTGATGTGCATCGAATGCTCCGGTATTCACAGAAATTTAGGTTCGCACATATCTAAGGTACGGTCTTTGGATTTGGATGACTGGTCGTAAGTATGAGACAAAGTTTCACGTGTATTACTAATACGCGTTCGTTTGTATTTGTTTTGGATCTGTTATTTAATGATATATCTTTAACGACGGCTTTAGCGCAGGTCACTTAAGCGTCATGCTGGCCCTCGGTAACGATATAGCCAATAGTATCTGGGAGTATTGTTTGAACGGAAAACAAAAACCTATCTCGGATTCATCCAGGGAAGAAAAGGAGCAGTGGATCAGATGGAAATATGAAGATAAACTCTTTTTGCCACCGATCAACCCGAACATCTCTTTAGGAAAATTACTCATTGATTCGGTTTGTCGGTAAAGTCTCGTTTTTGTCTAACTGGATGTAGAAATCATTAAGCGTCGCTGTAATTTCGCGATCTTATTATTTTTGAATATACAGGGGAGACATGAGAGCGTTTACATTATGTTTGGCTCGCTGTAATTACGAAGACATTAATATTTCGGTCAGTACGGAAGATCTGCGAACGCCGTTACATCTGGCATGCGCAACCGGGAATTTGGCAATGGCACAACTTTTAATATGGGTGCGTGTTCCTTTTCCATTTATTTAAAGCATTTCCTCGGTGCTATATATGTTATCGCAAATTTTGCAGCATAAGGCGAATCCGCAGAATTTGGATCATGAAGGACGAACTTGCATGTCGTACGTGCGAGCTTTGGAACGAACACTCGATAATTCGTCTGATTCTATGGAAATGCAGAAATTACTCGAAGTATTGGAACAAGCCAGTGTCTCCGGGATGGACGACGTAGACACATCTCAGTATTAAAGTTAAAAAAAAAAGATATGCCTTAATCACTTTACCTGCATTTTCTGAATACATTGTTAATACTGTGTACTTACTATGAAAAATCATCTTTGTTTAGTGATTCACAGAAAAAGAAAAGCTTTTAAATAATATTTATCTCACAACCGCCAAAGCATATTGAAGGAAATTGGATTATAAAAATCAATTCATAGCATTAATTTTACATACTCTGTAAAAAGTTTTTATCGCGTGTGATGAACTCATTTTAATATCGATTACGAAATTCATCTCGAATGAAGAATTTTTAATACGATATACTTTTGTACATTGAGAATAATCATTTAAATGAAATTTATATATATATGTATACTTCGCAATACGGTAATTTAATAAGATTTGTGTCAATCACGGAGAATGACTAATAGCATGCTCGAGTGTATATTGTCAATGACTGAGAGTACAAAAAACACTCATAAATGTAGTTATATTTATATATCTAATACATGTAACTGTATTTGAAGATTTATGAGATTGCTTTTATAACTTTTATCAATTATTAATTAAACATTCAATTACATCACGCATTATGTCCCGTTTATTCAAAATTTCACCAATTCTAAAATTTTAATTCACTTCTTGAAGTTCAAGAGTGTTACATTTCACAGTTTTTTATACTTTTCCGATGATGATATTGCGCTTAGACCATAGACTCTTTCTTCCTGTACATCTACATTGTCTGCAAAAAGTAGAATAAAATTAATACAAGAATTCAGTCTTATTTTATAACACAATTTCTTTTTTTTTTTTAATTATTTGCTTTACCAGTAGAATATATATTTGTTGGAAAAATAGGCAGTTTATTGTAATAGGTAGTAGTAGTTAGCATCGATGCGACAGAATGAGATGAAACAGAAGCTCTCCATACAGAGGGATTCCTGAAATAAGATACGATGTGTTTTATAGCATTTACTACAATTTTGTATTATTTCACAAGCAAATAAAATTTTAAAAATATTTATATCAAATAATACTGTCAGCATTACGTACATCTTATTTAACTCATTAGCTAACGCGTTGGGTAGAGGCACCATAAAAGTGAAAATTCGACTACAAAGATCAGGATAATGCTGTAAGGGAGACTGTTCAGATACGAACTCTTTGTAAGCATAAGCAAACAGATTTTGCAAATTTTCAATTGGACATTCCAGATGTGCTTCAATAAGTAACATACATTCCAAACAGATGTGAATTTGCGCTAACATAATCAATTTATTCCTGCAAGTAATAAAGTCGTAATACCATAATTGATTCTGATCTGTTCAATTTACAAAAATTTTATTTATATTACCTGTAGCTCTCTGTGTTGAAGATTCCGGAAGAAATATTGTTTAATTTTTGCCGAATATCGTGTAGATCGATAAATCGTGCTCCTCTTAAGATATATAAATAATCTCGAATAAGCTTCTCAAATCCTATATCTACAACAAATTCTAATGGTACACTTCCCACTAATAAATGAGATATTGTTTCTTGATGATGCAGATTGGAAATGCATTTCACAAATCTCGTTAAATTTGTGTCATTGATCTAAAAAAAACGTCAAAATATACTTATATACATTTTTTTATATAAAAAATCCCTTAAACTTTTAAACTTATAACTGTGATAAATCAGACAAAAGAACATATTTCTGTTAATTACCTGTGGTGTAAATTTATGCTCAATAATTTCCTTCAAAACTGTTTCAATATAGTTTATCATTTGTGGATATGTTGAAGCCTCTTTGCATATGGAAGAATATACAATTAACTATTCATGTAACATATAACAAGCAAATATACTTGAAAAATTTCTAACTTACTTATAAGTATTTCCCATAAGAGATCGGTGAAATCTATATCATGCCTCAAAAAAATATTTTGTACACGTTCCCGCAGCTTTGCATCAATTTCAAAATTTTCTTTATTGATGTGATTATTTTCCTTAACATTGTTATTATCAGACTTCCAAAAGTTGGAATCTCCATTCAGCAAAAGATTTAATTTTTCGTTTACGATGTCATGTTCCTAAAACATTTACGCACATGATCAGAGATAGGAAAAATAATGGTAAATATGTTGTTATGTTTGACATATGCAGAAATCTGTTTACCTCTGAATATGATGTTGTAAATATTATCGAATTTTGCAGTCCAATATTTTTCTTACATTCATCTATTATTGATAAATACTGACTTAATAAAAATAACTGATCTCTCAGTTCTTTTAATAGACTATTTTTCCATTCGGCATTTATTTGAGCTATCTGTAAATATTTATAGACACAAGAAAAATATATATACATAATATTCCCAATCTTTATGTTTACATACCAAAGTAATTTTTGACGGTCTTGAATCTAAGCTACTTGAATGCATTTCAATGCTAATGCTTCCTTCAAAATCACTTTTGGCAGTTTTATCCCAATCGATTGTTTCTTGTTTTATCCCAAACAAATCAAGAGCACTAAACATAGATATTTTAATCTACATATATAAAAAAAAAACAATCAAATCTCTGTTTTTAATGTTAAAACAATTAAAATCTTATATATTACATACATTATGTTCTTGTGTAAACGGATGTTTAAGATGTTCTTGTATGACTTTGTGAGATTTGTTTTTTATTGTAGCCAGATTTGTCATACCAGTAGAAACAGCTTCCAGTGTGGTAAACCAATCTTGAGAAACAATGGTACCAATAAGCTTGCTCTGCTTAGGATCTTTTCCATCACAGAGAGCTAATATTGGCAAAGTATTAGTATCAAGATGTTCAAGACATATATTCACTGCATTACTGGAAAAAGTGTATCTTGATGTATATTATAAATATCATATATATATATATATATATA